CCAAAACACAAATCGTAGGATTTCCAGGAACCAGCAGCTTCCTCCACTAATCAGACAGCAAAAAAATTCCAGCTCTATGCCCAGAAGAAACAAAATAACACACTTATAATGATGTCATATTAAACACAGAAGTAGGATATCTTCTACCTTCAGCACTCTGGCTCACCTAGAAGCCTAGATGGCAATCCAGCCCATAGAATTGGGACACATGAAGTTTCACCAAAGAAGGATAATGAAACTTCTATGAAAGTAGGTGTTCAATGCAAATACAAATAGCAGAAGAGTGCTCAATGAACAAAAGAGTGAAATTATTTTTATTCTGAATGAAGATGGCTAGACTACTAGAAGCCTGAACAACATCATGCAAATGTGCCCAAATGGATCCATACTAAAATAAAGAACAGGCAACAAGACTTAGCATTTATGTGAGGGCACAGGGCCAAGTAAAGTCAATTAACTTCCTGACTACTGGCTAGCTAGAGAAACTTTCCAAATTTATACATATTTCTAATCTTACTTAAACAAAAACAAAACAAACAAACAAAAAACCAAACAAAAAGCAAACAGACCAAAAATACACTAAAAAACCAATAAGCAGTAAACAACAGATTCTAGCTTTCCCCTTGCAAAATACAGAAGAATAACAGTTATTTAAAGCCTGCACTTCCAAGCCTTGCAGCTGTAATTCAGATGAGAAACAGACTCTATTGACAGGTAAAAAATAGAGTTCTCTTCCCCAAAAGCACAGAAGATGAATACAAGAACACTAAGTTCTACTGAAATATCATCTGCACAAACTTTCTGATAAGTGTGGAAACACAGGCTTTCACAGGATCACATGAGTAAGAAAAATTTTGCAGCTAACAGATAGGATTAAGAGAAAGCTGGCACTAAGTTTTCACCAGGTTAAGAAACTTCAGACTTAACAGATATATAGTACACCACTAAAACTGGCATATCTTGCACTTCCAGTCTTTCCTTTTCCTTATTTATATTTCAACAATTACTCGAACTTCACTGAATTCTGTACAGAATGAGGCTTTTCAGAGGCTGACCAAATTCCATGATTTCTTAAAAAAAGGCAGTAGCCACCATGTAACAGGCAGCCATCCTTTGACATTGTCCACAAAACAAAATCATTAACCCTGCCAGAGTGATCAAGTCATGCTGCGCTTTTCTTCCTAGCCATAAAAGGGACAGTAGAATTAATAAAACCAAAACCAAACACGCACACAAAAACCACACAAAAATAAACCAAGAAACAAAAAACGACACAAATTCTGTTGCAGTTAATCACACACTTCTTTCTACTTATTCCTACACTGAAGTGAAACTATGGATACCTTGCTGCCATGGCAAATAAGTTCCCCCAAAGATTTACCTCACATAATCGTGAAATGTAGAAAAGCTGTAATTCGTTTAATACTTTGCAACACTGCAGTGAATAAATTACAGATGCTCATTTCCCTGTTGTCCCCAAAACATAAATCATGTGGGGTTAAATATGCATTACTTGTTTAAGTATCTTAGCTTAAAATGGGAGGTCCACAAAGGATACAAAGCACTACACTTCCAGGATGACACACTTTTGCAAAGAAGCTTGCAGCTAAATGGCATGAAAGAGCCCTAGGAATTCCAGGGCTAAAGCACATTATCATCAGATTTACAATGCACCTTCTTGTGCAATACTTGCTCCACTACCTGCACCACTTCAAAAACATTTCCTGTGTGCCTCCTTGAAATGCTCCCATCCCTTTGTGGCCCCAGCTAGTCCTCTGAAACAACTCCAGCTTTGTATCCATTCGGAAGTTTCTGCCTGCCACAGGCAGGAGTGGAGTCGCTGGCTGGACTCTCCCACGCTTAACCTTAGAGAGCTTTTTCCTTCACCGAAACCCTTCTCCTTTCGATGCTGACTCTTTGTTCTCTGCCCTGAATGAGCAGTACTAAGGAACTTACAGGAGGGAATGATTTAAGTCACGTATGGCAAAGGCAGACAGAAGAACAATACAAGCATACTCTGCAGGGCAGGAAATCACAACCAGTGGTTAAGTGAAAGAGTTAATCTCTCTCCCTTTCCGGTATGGCAGGACCCACCAGGCTGTTGTCGACAAAAGCCGCAAGGACACTGCTACTCTTTTTCCCTCATTTCCAACCATGCATTCCTGCTGTAACCTTGTGCTAGTGTTAGTTGCCATGTGGCAAATAACCTCGCTGTTGTTTGGGGTTTTTTTTAAGCAATCACTAGGACATGCAAATTAAATTGATTAAACAACCCTAGATTTAGGTTCTGAAGCTGGGCATTTAACAAACCGAATTTAGGCACAGACCTTTCTAAACGACCACACTAAAGAGTCAGCCAAGAAAGGAGAGAGCAGCAAGTGCAATTGTGTAGTAGGAGAGAGAGGAGAGGCCCACGGCTCAACTTCAATGTCTGCAATTGCTGTAAAGAAGTCAAATACATTGCAGCAAAGATTTCTAATGGTCCAGGAAGAACAGAATGACAGAATATTATCTCAAAGTTTACAAGCCCCAAAGTGTCACAATTAAGACAGGCAGTTGTGCAAAATTCAGTTTGACTTCATATCTTTGAAACAGCTGTGTTTAAGTATTTCAGAGAATACAGAAACAGGTTTCTCTCCACACCTCCCACTTTGAGATTAACAAGCTAACAGAAAAGTTGTTTCCTTTACACTCTAAGGTTCACAGTTCCTGGCAGCAAAGTCTGTTTCTTCTCCAAGCAACATCTCTCAACCCCTCACCAAAATATGAGGGGGCAGAATTGGGAGCTGAAATTGAGCAGATACTAAATTACATTGAAATGTTTTTTTTTTCTTCAGAGAACTACTGTAAATGTACAGTATAGTTGTATAGAACAACTCTTCAGGAAGGAGAAAATAGAAAAAAAACCCCAGAATTTAGGACGAGAATGAAAATCTAACAGCGTCAAAATGCACACTTGATGAATAATGCCTGCACCTCCAAATTCTGAGTTCAGTCTATCTTTCTCAGATTGACTTAAAAGATGGGGAGGATGGCAAGAAACATATACAAACCATACCCTATTACCTTTAATTATTGTACTCCTATGTTATCAGCCTATCACTCGTACTTCAATATAATCTTGAAGAGAAGCTCCTGTTTCTCCTGCTTGACTTCTCGGCAATATATTAAAATAATCTCTATTACCCAATAATAGTGCTAGACACTCCAGCTCCTTCAAACACGGTGAATGTTACACAGAATATCATAGTCAGATAACTATCCCTTTAAAAGCTGGAGCAACAGATTCATTACTCTCTTAGTGAGAGGTCATCGAATATTAAAAAAGGTTGCTCAGCCTACTGGTCTTTCATATTAGTTACATGGGCTGTGATCTGCCAGGTTCCTCAGGCCATATTCCATGAATGCTGACAAGCTCAAGTTGTTTTTGCCCTCTGAACAGCAACACATTGTATTCAAAGAGAATAGTTTTCTTGATTCACTGTCATCAGCAGCACAACCAGCCACTCCTGAAATATGTTTTTTTCAAGAGGTAAGACATGCTTATGCAACCATATTATCCTAAGAAAATGAAACTCTACAACTTTGTGGTCAGTGGCTAAAGGAGTGGAAGAAGAAACAATGTAAACAGGCATAGCTGAGAAGAGTACTTAAAAACACAAAGGTACAAGGATCGAGAACAGCATAATCTAAAAATAATATAACTGGACAACAGGGAAAAACAGCCTCCCTAGTAAATTCCTCCAGTAATTTTCTATTGCAGTGCCTATCAAGCATTTGCAAGCAGCCTTTTTGAGGAATCTATTTCAGTAGTTGGTCACATGGCCTCTATATTTCTTACCACCACAGAAAAATCCTTACAATTGGGGATACACCACGACACAGAAAACAGAGATACACTGTACTGAGGAGATTTTTCAGTCAAAAAGGGGGAGAAGTCAAAGGATTCATATCACATAAATGACCAAAGTGCTTATAAAATGGAGGATGTTGAAACAGGAACCGTGCAGTGTTTAGAAAGCTCTCACTTATCACAAGAAGTTTTTAACAGAAACTTTGTTTGGCCTTGAGGATTGGAAAAGAAAGCAAACAGGCAAGATGCAGCCTGGTGGAGGCAGCACATCTTAAAATAAGAGATATTTATCATAATGAAAGAAAGTTCATAACATCTCCACATCAACTTACTACTTACAACCACTTACCAGCAACCTCTCTGAAGAATCCTCCTGTTTACATACCAATGCTAAACAATCTTTTCAGTATCATATCTTAGCTGTATGCTAGAAAAGAAAACTTCTCAGGTTACATACCAAAAGCCTGTAGCCACCACAATGATTTCAGACACGTTAAAGTGCAACTGGCACAGGCACATTTGACAGCTCTCCACATTTTATTAAATGCCTCACCTGTGTATCTAAGTTGAGAGTGCTCCTGACACTACACACACACACACCCCAAACCGAACACCAAAAACGTATGTGCTCATATGTGAACCAGTCTTAACTTCTCAACAGAAGTTGTCAATCTCTGTTAGATATGCTGAAACAACTTTAGTATTATTGCAGGTGTACCTCACAGTCACCTTTTTCTAAACTGCCTTGACTGAACTGCATCTTGGATAACAATCCTACAGTGTGTAGGATAGTCTCAGAGGAGGTTTGTGGGAGATTTTTGGTAGAGCAACAGCTCTACAATTACAGTAGGTTGCAAACACTGCTAAAGTGCAAATATCAATTTTGAGGGACCAGTACTTGGCCTCTAGTCCTTTGTGCAGTTTTGCACAAGTTGCCACTACTGCGCCTGTTTCAAAATAACATCATGGTCACCTGCTAAAGTGGTAGGAAGAGAAAGCTCACCCAGGTGTTTAAAATCCTGAACAAAAATTATTTAGTGATGACACTGCCAAGAGAGGAGAAAAATAGACAAGAATTACAACCCGAACTAAAGCCTAACAACAGAAACGGGTATTGGCAAAATATTAAAAAATAAACCAAAACATATTCAGAGGTCAGCTTGCTCCAGCTTAAACACAGCAGAAGAGCAATCATAGGCATGAAAGTTAAAAGGCCTAAGTGATATTCTCCTTAATTAAAATCATGAGTTGGCAAAGGGAGGAGCACTTTCTTCTCATCCTATATCCATCTGAACAAACATTCAGTTTAGACCAAACAGGTTCTCAGACTTGCAGAAAGCCTTATCTATTCAAAACACAGACAAACCAGTTCAAGCACTTCTGTATGAATGTTAAGCAAGCAACCTGGGAAGCTGAACCAGTTCTAACGAGCAGACAGCTTCTCTGCCATAATGGGAAATGACTGACCTTCTCAGATGTGCCTAAACTGTTATTAAGACAGCTCTACCCTCCTATCTAAATGAACGGTTTCCCAAGAATCATTATGGGACTTGAGAGAAAGCCAAGCAACAAAAGCATCTTCTTTACACACAGTCAGTTCCACTGAGAAACAAAAAACTTCACTGCCTCTTCTGCAAGTTTCATGTATCCTGGAATAAAGTCACCTTTCTCCATTTTTTAAATTGAGTCTGTTTCAAAGCCACATTCCCACATATATGATGAAACTGTAAAAATAACTTCATACATTCGTCTCAGAATCAAGCTGAATCATTTGAATATTTTTTAAGATGATTTACTATTTCTGCTAACCAAAAGAGATGCAGCTAGTCTCCTCATTAGGTCAGTATCTGAGAAGTGCAAAGGGCCCATTACTACAGACAGGACCAGGCTGCACTGGGTACGTATAGCTTCACAAGTGCAGATTATAAAGACTGAGCCTCTCACTCAGCTTTTCTTTGCCAGTATTAACACACATCGACTTCCTCAAGACAGCATGGAAAGCTAAAAGCAAGACAACTGGCCAAAACTTGTCAATAGCAAAGATGGAAAAGTTGGCAGGAATGTGAAGGAAAGAGAAACTAGCTGACTTATTCCAGAGCTGTGTGAGGCACTTCCCCAAGAACTTCTTCCCCAAAATTGCTCCCTTCTATACTTTCCAGGCCACTTGCTCACCTCTAACAATAAATTCATTTCTATTACTCGTCCTTTTTGACTTTCATTGAGAAATGTGACCTGTTATTCCCCAGGAACTTATTCATCACCATCAGAGCTTCAGTCAGCTCTGACTTCTCATGGAAAAAATTTCTGAAAATTTCTGTTTCGATTCAACAATCAGCTGTATTGCACTGTTTCATATTCTAGGTAATTACTTGGCAATTTTGAGTATAGAGGGGGGAAAAAACTCAAACCAGCCCCAAATCAAAATCCAGTGGTTTCAAACAACTGACCAATAACTCAGCTACTACAGAAATACAAGTTCCATGTCTGTGTCTAGTCATTGCTCAGATTACAGGTAGCTGCAAACCCAGGTTTAATGGCCCCTACATTTTGGCTGGTTTTTGAGTGACAGCATAACAAGACATTTTTGGAAAAAAGCTGCAAACAACGAAGTGCTATGAAGTAATTTTTATCATAAGATCATAGAATCATACAATGGTTAGGCCTGGAAAACCATCTGGTTCCAACCCCCCTGCCATGAGCAGGGACATCTTCAGCTAGACCAGGTTGCTCAGAGCCCCATCCAATTCGGCCTTGAACATTTCCAGGGATAAATATATCACCTCTTAAGTTGATACTGTAAAATCCTCGACCTCATCAGTGATTTCTGTCTCTTGAGAGTTAAGCACCGCTTAAAAACAGAGAAAAACAATCATGCGGAAATGCAAGTTTTTGATCAGAAAGGCGGCCTTGCTGGTCAGAGAACGACGGGCGGGTGCGAACAGCGGGGTACTGACATGCCGACAGCACAGCAGGGACAAGGACCAGAGCCACGGTCTGCAGCTCGCCCGCCCAGCCCGGGCGCACCTGGGGGCGCTCCCGCGCCGGCCCCCCGGCCCTTTGTTCCCCCGCTGCAGGGGCAGCGTTCAGGCGGAGCACGGCCCTGCCCAAGCACCCCCGGAGCGCCAAGATACGGCATAAACAAACCAAGGCCGCGCCGCCGGGGCGCCGCCGGGGCTCAGCCGACCCCGGCGCGGGCGCGGTGCGGGCCGCGGGGCCTCTATCGCCGGTGCGAAGCCGCGGCGGGGCGGGAGCCGCCCGGCGCCGCGGCCCTGAGGTGCGGCCCAGCTCGGTGCGGGCGGGCAGCGCGCACTCACCCAGGTGAGCAGGCTCTCGCCGAGCTCGGCGCGCTCCAGACTCTCCACGTTGAACATGGCGGGGCTGCGGGGCCGCGACGGGGTCGGTACCGCCGGTCCCGCCCCGCCCCGTCCCGGGCCGGGCGGTGGCGCCGACACGTCACCGCGCCCTGACGGACCGGCCGCGCGCGCCTGCGCCCGGCGGCGGCGGGGCGGGGCGGGGCGGGGGACGCGGCGCGACCCGGCGCCGTCAGGGGGACGGGGCGGGGCCGCGGGGCCGGCGGCGAGCGGCGGCTGAGGTACCGCGGGGGCACGGGCGGGCCCGACCGGAGCCGGCTGTCCGCCCCTCACAGCCGGCCGGCCGTCGAGGGGCTGGGGAGGGTGAGGGAGGCGCGAACCCTCCGTTTCATGGCCGCCGAGGCACCTCGTATGCCGCCGGGCCCTCGGGTAGGAAGGGTGTGCAGCCCTTCCCCGGCTCCGTGTATGTGCATGTGCATGTGTATGTGTATGTGTGTGCCCTGGCACGGAGGAACTGGTTTAGAGAGTGTCCGGCGGGGCTGGGAGCGTGGGTTTGTGAGTAAAGTGTACTATACCACAGACGTTATCAATGTTGGTAATGTGTAATGTGGCTTGCCTTCTGGATGGAATGCCCCCTACGAGGTTTTTCTCTCTTTTTGGAGTAGAAAATGACCTTTCACCCGCAGACGTTCTTCTGTTAGTGAAAGAAGCCGCTCCTACAAGGTTTTCCTCCTTTTGGGGGTAGGAAATGACCCTGCACCCACAGACATGTTATAGTCTTAGTATCTAGTGTGGCTTGGCTTGTTTATGGAGCAGCCTTAACTACCTTCTCCTCTGTTTTTGGAGACGACAACGACGTTAGCTTCCTTTCAACAAAGCTCTGCTGTAGTAAATTTAATGAACAGGCAACCTGCCAGCATCTGAAGGGGGTCTGCAAGGAAGCCAGAGAGAGACTCTTCGTTAAGAACTGTAGTGATAAGGAGTAAAGGGTTCAAACTTAAAGAAGGGAAATTTAGGCTAGATAGCAGGAAGGCATTTTTTTACTGTCAGTGGTGTTGAGATGCTGGATAAAGTTGTCCAGGGGGGTTGTGGATGCCCCAACCCTGGCACTATTAAAAACCAATTTGGATAAGACTTGAGCAGCCTGGTCTAATGAGAGATGTCCCTGTCTATGGCATGGGGATGTTGGGGCTGGATGATCTTTAAGGTTCTTTCCAATCTCTTAACATTCTTTGATTCCATAAATTACTTGCTTAGCACTAGCTGCAAGTAGTGACTAGGAAGAAGGGTAATTAGATATTGGAATGGGCTGCCCAGGAAGGTGATGGAGTGACAATGGGTGGAGTGAACAATGGGTGGTCAAGGAAAGACTGGACGTGACACTTGGTGTCATGGTGTGAGTGACAGGGTGGTGTTCAGTCTTAGATTGGGCTTGATGATCTCAGTGGTCTTTTCCAGCTTAATTGGTTCTGTTCGATCCTTCAGGTTATTCAGTTAATTTTTTATCTCAAAGATAAGGAGTCTGTCTGTGGCCAGAGTGCTCCTGCATCCTTGCCATGCCCCAGCCAGAGGAGCTCTCTATTATGCTGCAAATGGGTCACTTGAGGAGTTCAAGTAACTCTTTTCTCAGTAGTGTGTTGGATTTTGGACTATTTGAAGTTTGCAATGAGAGTGTGTGGCATCATGATAAGTTCTGCAGTTTCCTATCTGTTAACAATGTGCCTGACATTCAACAACATGGAGTAGCAAGCACAGGACACTGATAACAGTGGAGGGTTATATAAACAGGAAGGGCCACAGATGCGGAAACTCACTATTTTCCCCTGTTTTTTCAGAGTTTTTCCATTTCATAAATTAGTAGCATGGACAAAATCTGAGTGCTCCCTGTAAGTCAGCTTCTTTTGAACTGGAGAGTGTTGTAGAAGCTATGAAAATGTTCAGGTTTTCCCAGGAAAGTACTTTCTCACTGATCTCATTGTATAATCCACTGTATAAGTTATAGATCAACTCTTCATTTGAAGATAACTTTCAGTTTCGGAATGAATTTAAAGTCTTAGAAAACTGCACAACTACCAACTTCCCGTTCCAAGTTTTGATGTGTGCTTTATGCAACATGCTTGGTGTCTTCAACAAGCAATGCTTTCACAGGTACATTGCATTGTTTAAGGTTTTCTGTCACACCTTCCTCTGTGTCTCATTTCCCACTCTGCTTTGCCTATTGCCACAAGTGTAGCTTGTATTTTGTTGACACAAACAAATACAGTCATGCTTTTTTACCTTGCTATCTATTTTATATATGAGGTTGTATATGGAAGTAGTGCTTTCTACAGTAAGGAATTCTTGGGCGCTTTTCCTAAGAGAGATCTGAAGCCTCTTCATGATTGGCTGAAGTATTACCATATTCCAGTAAACATTATTATAACGAAGTGACAATGTTCTCTTTTTCTTCCTATCTGACCAGGAAAGTCAGTTATCCAAGCTGAAGGCATTAGCAAGCTCTTTCTCAGGCTCCTATCTGCATATGAATTCAGTATGTTTAGAACTCTATACCTTTCACTATGTTTTGGCCTTATGAAGTGGTGGAAGACTTTGTTGGGAATTGTTTTACACAAGTCATACATCATCCAGGCAGATACTCAGAATAGTAATGCTAGATCGGCCGTTGAATTTGTCTTTTTGCTTCAAGCCATACACATGGTTTTGGGCTCAGGAGAAAAATTATTGGAAACGCTTTGTTTTCCTGGTGGAATGGTATATTAATTTTTGATTATTTTCTCTCACAGCCTTGCACTTGTTGTTTGCAGTGCATTACTTTTAACTTGCAAAGCATGATTCCGTCAGAAAAAGTAGAATATCTATTTTCTTTCTTCTTTTTTTTTCCTCTTTAGGGAAATTATATGCCTTTATCTGGATATTTTCACTGAGTATATTTTAACTAATTTTGGTATGATGTAGTAGTTGTTATTGCTGTATTATTATCTCTAGGTCTTTTTTTTTCCTCTTTAGGACAATTATATGCCTTTATCTGGATATTTTCACTGAGTATATTTTAACTAATT